TCTTGGTATAYACTGTCAGAGAGCAGTGAAAGAGGAGGTTAATGGATGCCTAGTTTTTATGAGACAGGAGRAAAAATGAGGCCTTGGGAGGGACATCTGTCTCGCTCCATGTGCACTTAAAAGGTTTTTATTGAGGCATGAAAGGTTGCCTTGTTCCATGCTTTGTCTTCTCATTGCTTATCCAGGCAGTGATGTGCTGCCAACAATTCAATGCAGGAATTGCTCAAAATATACCCTATTAACCTATATTAAACCTCATGTATGTGGTATGTGGGCAATCACAGAAGAGAAGGGGAAGAAAATGGAATGGTCTGTTCTTTCCCTCTTAACATGCAGGAAGTCAGTAAATAGTCAGAGGGGCAGCCATGGTGAAGGGGCAGATTTATGTGAAGCCTACTTGCCACTCATTCCATAAAAATACTGAGTTTGTTCATGCTCAAAGCACATGTTTTTAACTAATTCTTTTGAACTGAGATGAGAAGGAGAGAAATTCTATAATTACTTTGGTAATATTTTTTCTTTAAAAGTGTGATGTATCCTTGGTGCATTCCAATGGGAAAAAAAAAATTACTTGTCTGTTTTTGTGACCTTCAATGAGAAATGTCAAGAGCAGAAAGGGATAATTTGATAGTGTGTCTGCAGAATRAAATAAATGGGATGGCAAGATACCTCTCCAGCAAGCTCTTCAGTTTGATACAATAATTTAGATGATTTCTACATGCCCCAACCTGCTAAGCAAATGAAAAAAATGCAGCAGGATGAATTCTACGTCAGTAGTCTCTAGATATTTCTGTATGAAGTACCTTTGACTTCTTTCTCCATGCTACCTCATGTGCATGCATTGATTTCTGTGAATAAATGAAGATTTATTAGTCAAATATTGTGGGCATTGTGGATGTCAAATGAGATACTTAGCCTGTGGATTGACCCAAAAGCACAAAATTGTGTAGTAAAAATATGTACAGGAAATAATTAAAAAAAAAAGTCTCCGAGCGAGGTCCAGAATTGGGCATTGCACCATCTTTGTTCTTTGTGTCCCTTCATCAAAGGGACAATTCCAGCATCAAGCATCAAGTTTTAGTTTCCTCTCTACTGTTATTATAAGGAAAATATAGTAGTGTGGTGACTTGAGGAACTCTTTCAAGCAAAACTTGGTGTGAGTTCTATTTCAGTTTATGATGAAGTTCTATCAGTGCTTCCTTTCATTTGTTCGGACCTGCATAAGGTCAAGTGGTGTTGTGCATTTCCCAGATTATGAACAACAGGTTGTTGAATTTTAGGGAAATACATCATCTTGTACTGCTTCGGGAGATATTTCTGTTTGAAATCCCACTTTCTCAAGTAAAGAATGCAAGTGCTAAAACTGGCCTTGAAAAACCTTCAAGTTTAAGAATAAAAAAGTTTCAAAGTGAGAAGATACTCGAGTATAGTGTTTGAAACTGAAAATTTGTTAAAAGCATGAAGGTGATGCTTGATCTATATGGCCAATTGGGATAGGAAGGGCAGCTAGAGAAAATAAGCAGACTTTATAACTTGGAGGWGAAACCATTCCTAGGTTAGGAGATCTTGGACTCTAGTTGACACTATTTCCTATTTGGTGTTAATTTATGTATGTCTTATACTAGGTAAAACAGATTGTTTTGGTTTTGGAGTCCTTGCAGAATGCTGCCAGCGAAGAAGTGTCCCTGCTGAGGCAGATAGTGAATGGGGGGAGCCTGGGGCACAGCAGCGTACGGGCGTATGGGAACTTGGTCCTGAGAGAGCTCTCTTGGAGAGGCCGGTTTCGCCCAGGAAGCGTGCCAGCATGGATCAGGARAGCAGGTGGTAGCTCCGGACCCTCAGGGCAAGAGGGAGCTGACCAGGTCCCCGCAAGCTGCGCTGCGAGTGCCAGGCTGTGGAGCTGGGGAGGGCTCTCTCACGTGCCTGTTTACACTAGAATGCCGTTTTCCACAGATAATCCATCAATATCAATGTCAACAGTAGCTTCCTGTTTTCTGCAACAAAGCAAGCTGTGTGAATTAACGGGAACCAGGGTAGGGAAGAGCTGCTGCCGTTCCAGCAGGATCCGGTGGTCAATACCGTGCCGATGTGGCACAGCTTGAAGTTGAGTGGCTCATTATCCTTGCAGCACTTGACCTGTTGTATAGGATATGCTATAGGAGAGCAGTACACAAGAGAAAAGCCTATATGTAGATAGAAACAAGCCCCTTCTACGTTTGTCCRTAGGATATAAATATTGTTGATCTCTTTTTCTCTCTGACATTTGGTTAGTGTGGTACCAAACCAATACAGAATTTTTAAATAATTTGATTATTTCCACTTTCTTATTCAGTTCCTCTGAGCTCTTAATATAAGAAAATGTCATCTAAGTGCAAACTATTCAACATCTTCCTCTCCATTAATAAAATAACATTTCACATGCTGACTAATATCTGTTTCCGTTTGAGTGTGTAGGTAAAGGGGAATGGTCTATTTTCATATTTTTTCACAAGAATCCCRTGTTTCTGTGGTGAGTAAGTATATGATTAGTTTGGAGTGAGTGCTTGTATTTAAGAACTTATTCAAAAATCTTATGAAGTGTCTAATCAGTTTTTGAGGAAGCTTGAGGGTAATACCTTTCGAKAAATGCCCTCCATCAGTTTGAGGCTCTTTGTTTCTAGTGCTTGATCCAGGCTTGGTCATACTCACAGCACTTGTGGGTAGGAGTGTGGCTCACCTGAAAGTCTTCATTATTACGAAACCAAGTAGTGACTTCTTTAAACCTGTGGTATTATAGATACTTTTTGCATATCCCAGACACCAAGGCAAACAAATCCTTTTGTTTGGAGGAGTTGGTTAATATTCTTCTTTCCTGCCCTTGTAGCTTCAAAAGACCTGCTGAGGCTAATGGAAATGTGCTGGTGTGATAATTCTCATTTTGAACAGTGAACCTTTACTTGGCATTAGGTGGCGAATTTATGCCTCAGAGAGGTTGTCTTGAGATAAACCAACTCATCAGCCCTTTAACTGCCATCAAGTTGCCTTGGAAATGAGGGTCACTGCTTGGTGGCAGGRTCAGTGCTGGCAACTGGCTGTTGAGGTCAGGGATGGACCATCAAATATATGAAGGAGGTGGACTTAGGTGAGCAAACAGGAGCGTGTCCTGCTCTGAAGAAAGAGCTTGGTAATTCTTTGCTTGCTCGGTACTTCCTGTCATGGCAGTTCATGAGATTGTTTTTAGGGATAATTTGAGGCAATAGGGCACAGTCTTGATCCAATTCATTCATTGCAAATAGAAATAGCTGGTTTATCAAAATGTATGAAGAGCTTGAGGAAAAGAGTGTTTATTGAATTCAAGTGTATTGGATATCCCAATTGGATATATGAAGGTGTAGGAGAATACAGAGGGGAAAAAAATGTCTGGTTGCTCCCATGGTGGAAATGTAGGGAGGTATCTTGGCAAGCAGACTAAAATAGAGAATTTTAAAGTATTACTAGAAGATTTCAGCCATAGCYTTTCGAGAGCACTCCTCTTCTAGTCATAAACTGGTAAACCAGAAAGGCTTAATAGTGACTAAGATGATCAGGATACTTTGAGCAGTTTTGCTCATTCTTTATAGAATACAGCAACTAGTAGAGCACTGCTGTTCTTGAGATAGGCAGATTGTTTTCAAAATGCCTCAAATAAGGATAAACTTTCCATATTGCACATTACATATTTCCATGAGCAACAGAAGTGGCCTAGTGGTGGTTTAACAATGATTATGGTCTAATCTTCTGCAGAATAGAGTAAACATCTCCACATCTTACCACTTCTTATTTCCAAAATGAAAAACATAGTTCCTTTACTTTGCAATTAATAACTGAAGCACATAATAGTAATAATTGAAATAAAGCAAGTCTACCCAGAAAAACAAAACTACAGCAGAGAGAAGTATTTCATTTAATAGGCTTCACAAAGGTATTCTATTACTGCTGTGACGATAAGCACAAGAATTGATATTGGATAGATGAGAGACTTGTTCTAGTGGGCTGTTTGCACCGAGAAGGAAGTTATGCACTGGAAGATTGCTAGCTGTGATTTGGGAGAGCTCTTTGCATCTATATGTAGCAATTTTGAGATATGCATATGTAAACAAAAGCTAATTTGTGGTTAAGATGAGGGAAAGAGGAAAGGGAAGTTAAGAACTGTTTGAGGTACAGTGGATGACGTGCCATGCCATGGTAAGTTAATGGAAAAAAMAGAATTTCAGAAAATAAGGTTCTGTGGACCTTATTCTCCAAATAAAGCTGACTTGGCTTTCCCTGAAGTCAGTAAGAATCTCTTTGTTAATTTAAGGAGCCCTGGATCCAGTTCTGTCTGAACTGTGTTTGTTCTTCCTGACAACTGAACGCTGGGATGTGGCTTCCTAATGTGGAAAAAAACGCTAAATGGGCTATCAGAAGAGTGAAATCATGGGATGTTTAAAACCTTGTAAGAAAGCCAATGAAAATGGACAGAAATAATCTTGATTTTTCTAGAGAAATGATAAATAGTCTGGGATCCCAGAGACAATTTGTTATCTTCTATGTTAGYTTTCCTGAAGGAAGGTCAACAAAAATACTTAATAGCCTACTGCTGTGGTATTTTACAAAAGCAAAGAAAAGCAYTGTTTTTTTCTGAGATAAAAATAATACCTTGCACACTTCCAAACCATCTGTTTTGTCAGCAAAGGTGAAACTGAGCAAAGATGATAGTCTATACTTCCCTTTCCATATAGAGGGAAAGATGCATAAATTATTGGTTATTTCCAGCRATGGGGTGAATTTATCCCATTAGCTGTAATGCAAACAAGGTTAGGTCTGAGACCAAACGGTGCGGATTGGCCCAACAGAGGCAATAATGTTGCTCACAGAGCTGCAAAGGTGTGGTGCCTGGAATGCACCTCACTCCATTTGCAGCCCAAAGGCACTTCTGGTTGAGGAGGGGTGAGCTAATGGGCCTTGTCTGGTGACTCTGTTCTCTCTTTTTCTGTCTTTAGATCTCTCAGCTTATGACAGAGACGAGCCGAGAGGGCCTCACGGAAGCAGCCTTGAACCGCTACAACRCAGATAAACCCTCCTTGTTCAGCGTCCCGGCTTCCCAGAGCACCTAYGTGGCCAGTGAAGTGTCCACTGGCACCTCGGTGGCAGCATCGTTTTTTGCCAGGTAAGAAAGATTCCTCGTATTTCCCTTCTCAGGAAACACAATTTCTTGCATAATAAGAAGATTTTGTAGCGTGATACACTACCATGCTCATGTTGTGGTTGATAGACATGGCTCTAGATGTAGGTCTACCAGAAGCTGGCTGAGCTAGTGTGACTACATTGCTTCATCCACCTGTGTGCCTTTATTTGTATGTTAGGGATGGTGCTTCCACCCCATGTTTAAAATAACTCTTGATATGGATTAAAATGTAATTCTAATTCCAGAATAATAACCGACTTGCASAGACTCTAGAGGTGGTTTCCTGAATGAGAAGGGCCTAAGTACTTTTTTGGGATAAGCAATTAATTGTACAGCTAGCAATCAACCGTGGAGCTAGCTGGAGGTCGACAGTTCTGTTTGGTGGCCAACCTTCTGGTTTTCTTAGTGAATGTTATTTCTGTGTAGGTAAATTGTTCTTATTTCTACCTCCAGATTGAAAAGTTAAGGTTGTTGACTTGATCAGAGAGTCCAACTTGGCCTCAGAACTCCCCTTTCTATTAAATATTGAGTCAATATTTCCACAAATCTGAGAAAGTCAAGTTTCATAAGAAAATCTTGCAGCTATCTATTAATTTGTTACCAAAAATCAAATGGGCATAGCAGCTAATAAATGCAAGGTCTACTGCCAACAAAGGAAAAGCTTTTCTGTGCRAAAATATGCTCTTTTCAGAACATAATCTTTTTGGCCTGCTTGAYATCTGATGTAACTAAAGAAGTTGAAATAATCCTTTTCTTTTAATACTTCCCAGTAATGAGGGAATTGACTTGGGAATATTTGTGGAAGTAATGAAATAACATGAGAAWAAGCTATTTTCACAGGACTTTCAATCCAACCTAGTAAGATATCTGAATTTCAAAACACTGAGCAAACTTTTGAGTGAACTCCTCAGGCATATCCAGATTAACCTTCCTACCCTTTACGGAGCCAGCTATTAGTAATTCCACATGATTTTGTTTCATTTTAAAGGCAAATGGAAAACATATTAGGTTGCTGAACTTGGAAAATAGTAAATCTCAAAGGAAGATTTTACTCTCCTGGTTATTCTTCTCCACCTTGAGGACTGTTGAGGTTCAACCGGTGTCATGCTGCATTTAAAAGGATTAAGAGCAGCATTTCAGAGGAGCCAGTGCACATTGTTTACCTCTGAAAGCTTTGTCATTTTTTTCCAGATAAAATGTAACACTATAATAGTAAATATCAATTATAACAGTGGTCTGGATTTGCTGCCCTTTTCTGTTTAAGTGCAGGCAATTTAAATTAAAATTGCTGAATGTACTCATATGGTAATATCTGACGGGAATGCAGATTGGGATTAGCACATATTTAGCATGACTTGCATAAATTGATTTATGAAGCTGGCTTAGCTCATTTGCTCTTCATTGTTTCACTGTTTTATGCTGAGAGAATTCATTTTCTCTTAATATACTTTGCTGGAATGCAGGAAACTAATTAAATTTATTCTAAATCCCTAGTGTAAATCACAGCGTTTTAAGCAGAACTCTCTTAGTTTCTAGSTGATGGTATGAATTCTTGGGTTTGAATTCTTCTATGTTTGTCCCAGCAGAGAGTTCCCATATGTTTGGACTGTTTATTTTTAAGCTGCACTTTGCAAGACAAAGTGACTGGTTTAGCTTGGAGAATTGCATAATTAGATAATATCACTTATGCAAATCAGTTTTGTTCTGGACTTCAAATTATCTCCTCTGATGATAGTTAAACCAGCAAATTAAAGTCGGTCATTCACTGCTTAACCTTCAACAAGGAATTTTGTAACTTGTTTTCAAAATGCACAGCACTCGTTTCTTTTTGTTTTGCATCTTATGCTTATTTGCATTTGTAAAGTTGGGTAGAAAATGGTGGAAAATACAAAGTAGAAGGTAGTCATGGTCTGACCTGTTAACATGGTGCTTTGTTACAGTATTGACTAGATATGGTAGGCATATGAATTCTGTTTTTTTTGTTTGTTTTCTGTTTATGTGTGGCTGTAGTGCYTGCCAGCTGGCTTGGTATTTTTGAACATGTCACTAAAGACATTTTTCATGAACAATAAATAAATTATCACCCAGGAAAATTTGCTAATCTGAAGCTGAGGTTAAAAGTGGAGTTGTTAAAAATATTATTTTTAAACTAGAATAATATCTCATTATATTTGACCCTAACTTTCCTAATAAGCAAAGCAAACCTCAGGTGAGGGGGTGGAAAAAACAGTTAAACTGAAATGCTGTAGTATAGAGGGAATGTCAAGACATCACAGGGACTTTTGGCTGTAATTACTTGAGGAAACAGCAGGCCTGGACTAGACTAAGACCTGGCAGCTGGTACTTTTTCTGCCCTTGGTTCTCAGCTAGTCCAGCATCCAACAGTGCTTCTCGCAGGCAGGCCTGTGGCTGGCGACGAGCTGTGGAGAAATGTCCGAACGTCTGAAGGCCGCAGGGAGGCCGCAGTGACTCTCCACCTCCTGAGAAGGCAGGAGACGAATCAGTCACCTCGATACGTAACTGTTGTGTTTCATGGTCTACGGAGGAGGGATTTCCAAGCTGGTTAAAAGGGCTGCAACTTCTGGGAATTGCCACTTGCTGGGATTTTGCTGCAGGAGAATTAAAGATCTGTCAGGATTCCCATGGGGGAGGCTGTGAATATTTTGAAGGAACGAACTGTGAGAACTGTCCAAAGCAGTGTGCTGGCAAGCCTGTGAATATTAGATTACACAGGTATGAATAATGAATTTTAAATAGTGATTCTGATATTCTGATACCTCAGAATACTTATTATGAGATTCCAACCTAAAGGTATTSTGTGATACAGAAACAGAATTCAATCAATTGCACTTTTAATGAGAAACAGCAAATCTGCCTTCCCGCTGGCAGCCCTCACTCATTTTAGCCTCAAGTACCCTCTACTCCATGCTAATTTAGCATCAGTCTTCTTCCTAGTATTGTGTTAGTGACAAAAATAACTTGTTTAGTGAAACTGAAGTAATACTAAGAGACATTTACACAAAAAGAATATTCCCAGAGCAGTTTAGGATTTGTACATGAGTTAACTTTGGCCTCTGTTTTGGATCTTTATCATAAGAGCATCAYCTGTTTAGGCCGTGGCAGGTGAAGACATACTCCTGCCTTATTTCCTACAAGCACAGCCTAGGAGTGTGTCACAAACAACCAAAGGAGAGGTGAACGGTATTGCAGATATTGCCAGAGACGTGGAAGAAAGGCCTTCTGACATTAGTTTGTGAGTAAAACATGTGTGTTGTGACCCAAGCTGTAGAGTATCTCCGTGATCCCTTGAAGTAGGAGAGCACAGAGCGGGGCTCAGAACTGGACCCAAGTCTTTCAGCTGTCATTCCGGTAACTCACTGGGACCCTGGTGCAGCCCCTTGCCTGTCCTGCCACAGCAAGCCTGCTGTGGAGGAAGGGGGGAAATTCCTCTGCTTCATGAGGAAGGGGAAACATAGATGCCTGTTTCTCTTCGCACCTGGAAAGAAGATCAAAAGTTTGAGAAGGAGCTATTTCAAACAGTAATGTTGAAAGTGGTCAGGAAATGTAGTGTATCCTGAACAAATGCCACCTCAATCTGAAATCCTGTGCTGTATAGTCATATTTGTATTATTTGAGCCTGATGGGAATATAGATAATCTTGAAAGCAGGCCGAAAAATGTTCTGGGGATCATTTTCCATGTCTTTATGCAGTTTAAACACCAAGCAGGACCACACAATACTTCTGTTGTAGGTGAAATAAAGTATGTTTTTCAGTTCAAATGTGAAGTGTCCAGATTTTTGAATAACGTGGTACTTTGAGAAGAAATAATAATATAAGCCCTTGGCTTCCTATATAATGCAGTTACTCAGCATGGAAGCTCTAGTGACAGTTGTACCTCTTCTTGGAAATGTCGTGGGTGACCCTGTTCATCCTGGTTGCCCACCTGTGTGTGGCTTGGCAGCTGGGGAGGAGAAGGTTGGGGCGGTGAGGGACCAGGCAGCTATATGAGCTTCCTGGGCATGCTTTTGAAATCTCTTTATTTAATTCTGGTGCATATTGCATGGAATACAAAACTTACAGGAGGATGGGATTTGTAGTCCCACTTGTTGAAGCCTCTGTCTTATTTTGGTGATCTAGCTCCTCAGAGACTCCAGAATTTGGAAGCTTAAGCCCATGCTTTTGGTACCTATACAATAAACKGGTGACTTGACATATGGCTTTTGATGTTTCATGTTTTTCCTTACACATGTATTATTTCTGTGATTTTTGTTGAAATTTGAAATAAGGAGTAGATCTGCACAATCAGCGCAATTGTGGGAAGCCAAATTTGGGATCCATCTCCATGGAGTAGGAACTTCTTTACTGTGAGGGTGACAGAGCAGTGGAACAGGCTGCCCAGGGAGGTTGTGGAGTCTCCTACTCTGGAGGTCTTCAAACCCGCCTGGATGCCGCCGTGTGCCCCGTGCTCTGGGTGTCCCTGCTGGAGCAGGGGATTGGACTAGATGAGCTCCAGAGATCCCTTCCAACCTCAACCACTCTGTGATTCTGTGAAGTGCTGACTTCAGCATCCCTGAGAAGAAAATTATTTTCTGAGACTTCCGTGAAAACACATTTTGGTTTCTTGCTGACCAAACTACGTAGAACCCAACAGAATTTTCTTTCATTAGCTRAACAAACTAAATTTAACGGTTAAATCGTGGTCAGTCTGCCACACATTTTAAAAAGCTACATGTTAACCAATCTGATCAGAGTTAGTGCTCTTTTTCCCTCATCTCTCCATCTTATGCAGTAAACTGCATAAGAAATACATAAATCAAAGGATGTTAAGATTAAAAATCCAGAAAGTGTCTTTCAGTAGGAATGCTGGCAGCAAGTTTTAAAACATCTGTAAATCATTTTCACAGATATTACTACCTTCAAAGTCTCTTTTTTGGGCTGAGCAGGGGAAATTTCGGTCACAATGATCTCAGTCAGCCTGAAA